CCTGCAGCGCTCGCCTGGTTCTCGAGGCCTTCTGCGGCAGATGCGGAGGAACAGCAGGGAGCGGGCGGGGCCGCCGCTGAGGATGCGGCGGACGAGGCAGAGGCCGAGATCATTCAGCTGCTGAAGCGAGCCAAGGTGAGGCTTCGTGAGCCCTTGTGAGCGAGGCCTTCCCTATAGTTTGCCGAAACGTGGATGGAGGCTCGGAGGATAAAATTGCCCAAAATTAGATGGATCATCAGAGGGGGAAGGTTGGGATCCATTCAGTCTGGTCCGTCTCTAAAACCTGCAGTAAAATTGCTGCAGTCTCAAGTGCAGGTGGAGATGGCACCCTTGGCATATTTCTTTTGTTTGAACAAATTATTGAAAATGTTTTATGGTTGTTTTTAATCAATTAACCAGCCAAGATGAAGTGGGCATTATTTGCACATACTACAATCCTTAAAATGCAATTCTTTCTTTTCTCCATATCTTTTTTTTCCCTTAATATTCCCCTCTTTTTTTTTTCACCCCAGGCTCTCTCAGTTTGCTGTTTACATTCTGTCTCCACTGTAAGGCCTCATCTACCTCTCAGACTTAAAAATGCCCCAAACCAAACTCTTCCTCTTGAATGCCTTTCCAACACATTCTTTATCTTTATGACCATCAGTTTCTCAGCATCATTCCTAAAAAAACTTGTGGTACTCTATCATTGCCTTCCAGTACACAGCCGTAATTCCTGTTGCCACCAAATGCAAAATATTTTTCAGATATGGCCCATTTCTCTATTTCCCTTGCTGTTGTCATCCTAGTGCAGTCACTGTCACCAACTGGAAGAGGGTCTTTTGACCCTCTACAATTCCTTTTCCATACATCAGTCTTAGTGATACCTACGATGCATTTTCCATACTGCAGCCTTAGTGATATTTTAAAGATGCAAATCAGCTCACATCACTCTTGCCTGACAACTCTGAGAAATTTCCCACTGCACTTGTTAAAATTCAGACTCTTTGCCATGGTCAGCAAGATCCTAAGATCTAAACCAGCCTACCTCACCCATTCATTTGCAGTAATGCTCTGGCTCACCATTCTTCACATTTCTTTCCTGGTAGTTCTTCTGAAGAACCATTCTCTTCAACCTGTACAGGCTTCACTCATTCTTTGTGGGTCATTCTTCCTCCCAATTCCAAATTGGGTTGACATACTGTCACCCTTTGTTCCTCAGTTTAATTCTTATTTCTTTGGAAGACTTCCCTGATTTCCATTGGAGGAGACTCCTTCTCACTTGCTTTTTTTTTTCTGGGGATTGAATCCAGGGCCTTGTGCATGCAAGGCAAGCACTCTACCAACTGAGCTATAACCTCAGGCCCCCGTCCTTCTCACTTCTTTCCATTGTTTTTCTTCATAGCTATTAATTAATGAATTGTAATTAAGCCTATTTTCCCCAGATGGTCCCCTTCAGCCTAAAGGAAGGAAGAGAAAAAGAGGATGAGCTGGGTGCACTGGTGCGTGGCTGTAATCCCAGTGGCTTGGGAGGCTGAGACTGGAGGATCACAAGTTTAAGACCAGCCTTGGCAAATTCATGAGACCCTGTCTCAAAATAAAACATAAAAAGGGATAGGGAGGTGACTCAGTGGTTAAGTGCCCCTGGGTTCAATCCTTGGTACCAAAAAAAAAAAAAGGAAAAAGATGAAGGACAAACAGATTTCTTATAAAATATGATATAAAGATTTCTCACATTCCTTCTGCCTGCATCTATTGGCCAAAACTTCATTACAGATAGCCACATATAGCTGCCAGGGAGGCTGACCTCCTTGTCATCTATAAACAATGCTTGGTGCATAGTAGGAGTCAGTAAATATCTGATGAATGAATAGCTTCTTTCTATGAATTGGGATGTATAGCCATCTGTACTTCTTTCTGGAAGCACATGCATGTGCTTTCCTTATACATCATTTAATGTTATTTTCTTTTTCTTCTTTTTTTAGTTGAGCATCATGAAAGATGAACCAGAAGAGGCTGAGCTAATATTGCATGATGCTCTTCGCCTTGCCTATCAGAGCGATAACCTGAAAGCCATCACTTACACTTATGATTTGGTAACTCTTCTAATCAGAGCTACTGATGAAGAAGGGTGGATGCTTGAAAAGGATTTTTCTTCCTGATTTCTATTCCTGACTGTTGGGGTGTTTGAAAGCTCTATTTTCATTGTTGTCATTTTCTTTTTTCTTTTAAACCATTGGCAGAATCACTTATGAGACGTCTCAATTCCCAACCAAAAAGAAACAAATAGCTTTTGTTTCTTTAATGATAAGTAGATCTAGATTTCATTTATTATCAACAGTATATGCAACAAAGTATTTGCTTCTTATACCATTGCTGTACTGTGCTAGCAGATTAACTGGTGACATACTTTATCCACTTTGAACTTTTGTTTTTTTAATTCAGAGGGTGACTGCCAAAGGGAATCTTTAGCTTAAAGGTTTTTGGATAAGTAGGAACACAGTGCTCTAAACTGAACAATTTGTAATTTGCTTTCAGATGGCCAACTTAGCGTTTATACGGGGCCAACTAGAAAATGTAAGTAAATCATTTTGAAATATTTTGAATTTGTGAAATACGAGCCTCTAGGGAACTGCAATAGTAATGATACAGGCTAAGCTACTATGACCCAGAATATAGTGATTCAGAGAGGATGAAGTTATTTCTCTTTTTTTTGACATATATTTTTTAGTTGTAGTTGGACACAATACCTTTATTTTTATTTATTTTTATGTGGTGTGACCTTGGCCTTGCATGTGCTAGGGAAACACTCTGCCGCTGAGCCACAACACCAGCCCCTGAAGTGAGTCTACATGTAGGTCAAAGACTAAAGGCAAGATAGGCATCTCTGCTGTCTGGTTCAGAAGTCTGGTTCTTTCTAAGCTGCATGGGTGAGCTGACTCACTTCCAGCCTGCAGGAAGGGAGAAAAAGAAGATGAAGGGCAAGCAGCATCCTTATAAGTTATGATTTAAAAAGTTCATATTCTTCCTGCATGCAACTCCTGGCCACAATTTCATTATATGACTACATGTAGCTTTAAGGAAGGCTGATCTGCTAAAAATTGAGGGGATTTTATAGCCATAATGATGGGAGAGTGACTATTGGGGCCAATTTGCAATCTCTGCCACAGTGATTTGATGAGAAGTTGATTTCTACTCATCCACAGAGTAGATTAAGATACATAGGATGTGGGACCCTGATACTTTGGTCCATTTTCCTTCCAAAAAAGTACTTTTCTGTGTGTTTGGGGTGTGTGTGTTTGTGTGTGTACATATGTGTACGTACTTAGGAGTGCTACATCAGACTGACACTTAGAATCCAAGGGTCATGTAGAGAATTGGGCCCAAATGAAAAATCTTTTCCTTATGCTTTTAGGCAGAACAACTTTTTAAAGCAACAATGAGTTATCTGCTTGGAGGGGGCATGAAGCAGGTAAGAATATTGCCTATTATTGGCCCCTCATTGAAGCGGTTTTTAAAATAATCTTCCTGAAAACTTCTCCTCCAGTCTTCAATGTGTGCTTTGACCAAAAAAGGTGAATTTTTTGCTCCCGTACCTCTATAAAAATGGCCAATCTTTCACTAATTCAAAAGCATGGTTGCTGAGAACTTCAATAATTTCTCTAAAAGTCAAGAAGTTGAACTGAAATAATCTGTGAGGAAGTTTTACTTGTCATGAATTACCTTTATTTCTCTCTCCCAATAGGAAGACAATGCAATAATTGAAATCTCCCTAAAACTGGCCAGTATCTATGCTGCTCAGAATAGGTAAGTGTGGTTAGAATGTAGGTGTAACAGTGGCGAGAGAATGGGCTTGTGGGCAGGAAACTCTGATTCTAGGGTGTCATATAATCTTCATTTACCTACAAGTCATCAGGGTCTTCAAAAAATTGGCTTTCACCTTTCAATTGTCCCATCCCTTGTCTTAGCAGTCTTCAGGCTTTTCCAGTTCTGCCCTGCTTTTTCCTTTAGCTTGCTGAGAGAAAGCACACAGCCCTCACACCTGGCTGTGTGATAAAGCTAGTCAAGTTTTTTGTTCCTGCTTGAAGCGAGAAGGGAAGTTAAAATGTGAACTGGGAACCGTAGTTAGCTCTTCCTAAAAGTGGAGAGAGCAATGTAAAATTGCTGGGGATAATACACTTTGAGAAAACCACTTTCTTTCTTTCTTTCTTCTTTTTTTTTTTTTAATATTTTTTTAGTTGTAAATGGATCTTTTATTTATTTATTTATATGTGGTGCTGAGGATCGAACCCAGGGCCCACATGCCAGGCAACTGCTCTTCCACTGAGCCACAACTCCAGCCCCAAGAAACCACTCTCTTGATATAGGCATCAGCAAAAGAAGTTGTTAGGTATCAAGGTACATGGTGAGAGTCACTGTGGGAGTATCTTGTGGCTCATTTTCATTATCTATTCTGAGAAAACAGCAGCTTTTTTTTTCTTTTTTTCCTTTCTTTTGGGTACTGGGGATTGAACCTAGGGGTACTTTACCACTGAGCTATATCCCCAGCCATTTTTTAAATTTTTTATTTTGAAATAGTTTTGCTAAGTTTTGTTGAGGCTAGCCTCGGATTTGCCATTCTCCTGTTTTAGCCTCTGAGCCACTGGGATTAAAGGCTTGTACCACCATGCTTGACAATAAATGGCTATTTTTAAGACGTTAGCAGAAGGTTTTGAATAAAATATTTTGTTTAAATGATTTGACCACTGACCTTATGTAGAGTATGTAGAGTTGATGATAGGTAGGTTTCTGGAAGGGGAACTAGCCAAGAGTAGAGGAGAGATCTATAAATAAGTAAGTCATTTCTTATAAAGAAGAAAAATATGCCAGTTACATAGGATGACCTTAGACAACAATTTAGATAACATGCCAAAGGCTGAGAGCACTGATGAATTGAGGGCCTTTTATTCCCATCAGTTTCTAGGTGGAGTTCAAAGAAGAAGCATATAGGATGTAAGCAGAGAACTCTAGACTGGATTTTATTTGGGGTGAGTTTAGGGGGAGAATTAAAACTAGCTTTTTAGTTACTGCAGAATTTGGTGCCAGAGGTTTGCAGTGACATCAAGTCAGATACTATACAAAGGGTTCTTATTGAAGTCCTGGTACTGGTCTCTGCTGTCCTAGTCACAGCGTCTTCATTTTCATCAAGTCCTCTCTGCATTTTGATTGGACAGTAGAACTTCTGAGGGCCTTTGACTTCAAGTTGTCTAAAGAGCTTTAAGTTTGATTGGTACCAGGAAACGTTTTGGCTGAGGTCAATCTTCCTAGGAAGAGTATCAAATAGGAGTAGATGTTGATGGAACTGAACTGCTCAAGTAAGAAGCCAATAAAAACCAATAAAACACAGGAAAGTAATACAATTTATAATCTTGTAGATGTGAAAGCTTTTATAGTATCCATTAATAATTAACCTTTAAGTACTTTTCATTCTGTTTTGTTGAGAGAATCATAAGGTAGAAGACAAGGCCCAGGTCCTGAGGCTTACTTAGAAAGCCTGATACGAGTCAGGAGAGGAATTTTTTTTTTTTTTTTTTGTAGCTGTAAACAGCATAAATGTATTTGTTAATTTTATGTGGTGCTGAGCATTGAACACAGTGCCTCAGACATGCCAGGCAAGCGCTGTGCAGCTACAGCCCACACTGGAGGAATTTTTTATAGGCCTCTTGCTCTACTGGGAACATTTTGTGGCAGCCTCTTCCTGCCCCCATGTCTTGGCTGAAAAGGGTCCCTGCTACCAAGGTTTGGGTCCAGAGAAGAAAGGGGATGCTTTTGTTCTAAGAACAGAGTAGCTCATCAGGGTCATCAGCTCTTCCCTGGGAAGGCACTAGAGGAAAAGGTTGAGATTTATAGTGCTACTTCTGGTAAGAAAGTAGAGGCAACATGGAAGAGCAAAAATCAAAACTAAGCTACATAGAGGGGGAATTTCATTTTTGGAACCCAGGGACACTTAGCCACTGATCCACATGCCCAAGTCCTTCTTTATTTTTCATTCTGAGATGGTGTCTCAAAAGAATTGTGAAGGGCCTCGAGTTGCTTTGAATTCTCTTGTCTCAGCTTCATGAGCCACTGGGGTTACAGGTGTGTACTGCCTTGCCCAGACTGAAGGAGAAATTTCTGTTATATTCCTCTGCATCTCTTTATAGAAATCAGGGAGTCAATCTGCATACTTGGATGTCATCTTCAGTTGACCAAGGGTCCAGAACTGGAGTCAGTCTAAATATTGCCATGGCTAAAAGTTTCATTACTTTGGAAAACTTTTATCAAAGACTTATAGTTTGAGAGAAGTATTATACAATCAAAAGCTCCCCAGAAGCTACATGAACGCAGCAATTGGAATCCCCAGTGCAGGGGGAGCTGAGCTTCCCTTTGTTAGGTCATACTTCATATTACTTTGATCAGGTGTGGGCTTTCCCATGCTTACTCATTTGATACTGATATTGGGAGATGATGAAAGACCACTGGTTATGTTAGTTGTGAAAATTTTCACAGCATTCCTAGCTTTTCATGTTTTAATTTACCTTAAATAGATTACTTTAGAAAAAATTTTGAGAATTGGTAGATTGATAGCCCAGAGGTACTTTAAGCATAATTCCCACTTCCCTTTATCAATAATGCTGAAACTTGAGCTGGAAAGATGGAGGTAAAAGAAGAGTTTGAGAAAAGGTAAATGGTTGGTTATTGATCTTTGTTTCACAGACAAGAATTTGCTCTCGCTGGCTATGAATTCTGCATTTCAACTTTAGAGGAAAAAATTGAACGAGAAAAGGAATTATCAGAAGATGTTATGTCAGGTAGGAAACCGGACTCTTCTGGATGTTGTGTTTTCTCCACAAAAGGCTTATGTCTGTGTCAGGGAGGGTAAGATATCCATTGTTCACTGTGACTCTAATATTATGAAGTCTGGAATAAGATGGGACATTTTGTTTGAATTTTTTGATAGCTCTTTTGTTTGTATTTTTTATTTGAACTGTTCTTTGAAGATGTGTTCATAAATTATCAGTCAATTTTAATCTATATATAACCTCCAAGAAATTGGGAAGCAGAAAGGGAAGGCCTTTCTCTTACCTCTTAGTTCCACTACTAGATTTCTTTCTTTCTTTCTTTTTTTTGGTGGTGGGGTGCTGGGAATTTAACCCAGAGCTTTGTGTACGTGAGGCAAGCCCTCTACCAACTGAGCTATATCCCCGGCCCCTCAACTACCAGTCAGAATGCAATAATTACTTTTCTTAATAGCAGTAGGTTAAGGAAAGACAGAAAGAAGCTTTGCGTTTTTTCCACACTTGTAGAAACTGGAAATGGAATGAGGTTGGCTGGAACCCTTCAAAGGGTGTGCCATTTTGGGTTTCTTAATTTTGTTTAAAGTATTGGGAGTTTTCAGATTTGACATTTGTTCAGTAACTTCTTTCATACCTGCCGTATGCCAAGAGCTAGTGAGATATTAGGGATCCCGTGGTCATAATTCATGAAGTAAGACACCATGATAGAGTTATCTTCCAATTCTTTCTTGAACATAACATCAGTTTTTCTTCTCCATCACTCTACTAAAGCCACTTCTCTCAGAGTCACCAAATCTAGCAGTCATTTTCTCAATCCTTAGCTTTCTTATTCATTAGCACTTTTACTTGGGATTAATCTCTTCTACTGGAAATACATTCCTTTGATTTTGGGGCACCTTACTCATGTCTTTCCCTTACTGACCTCAAGTGGTGGTGGACTTCAGAGCTGTCCACACTCTCCACTTTTTCCTCTGCCCTCATGCCCTAGGAGAGACCATGTACTCTTATACTTTTTAGATTTACATCTTCAGACCCAGCTTGCACCTGAATAGCAGACTTATGGGTATGATTGCCTACCTGTCATCTTGACTTGAATGGTGAATGGTCATCTCACATTTAACATATCTAGAATGGATCTTTTCAATTCTGTCACTCACAAATTTGTTTCTACACAAGTCAGTCCAGGTTAGTAAGTGGCACTAATAATCATCCAGTTGCTTAGCCATAAAGCTTTGGCCCAGTTGCTTTGGACCTATAAGGCCCTCTGTGATCTGTCCCCCACCAACCTTTCCTACATCATCCATTGCACTCTCCTTGCTCATTCCATTCTTACCACACTGAATCTCTGATGTTCTTGCACATCCCAAGTTCATGCCATCTTTTTTTTTTTTTTTTTTTCAGGGGGTGGGGTGGTACCGAGGATTGAACTCAGGGATCCTCAACCACTGAGCCACAACCCCAGCTCTATTTTGTATTCTCTTTAGAGACAGGGTCTCACTGAGTTGCTTAGCACCTTGCCATTGCTGAGGCTGGCTTTGAACTTCGGATCTTCCTGTCTCAGCCTCCTGAGATGCTGGGATTACAGGTGTGTGCTAGTTTATCCCACCATGCCATCTTTAAGGCCTTTTTGCTTAATATTTTCTCTGTCTAGATTGTTCTCCCATATTCTTCCATGGGTAGCTGCCTCACTTTATTCAGATCTCTGCTCAGATATTTCTTCAGAGGCTTATCCTGACTAAAATAATCATCTCTTCCTACATAGTATTATTTACCTCTTTAACTTTTCTTCATCATGCTTTAAAGTAGAGATCTGTGTTATGTGCTTGTCTGAATTACCAATAAAAGTATATTTTTGTTCAAGCATTTTTAGTTTTTGTCTTCCCTATCAAAGAGGGATCAAGACATCATCTGGGGGCTGGGGCTGTAGCTCAGTGATAGAGTGCTTGCCTTGCAAATGTGAGGCACTGGGTTCAATCCTTCAATCCTCAGCACCACATAATAAATAAACATAGTGTGTCTAAGAAATATTAAAAAAAAATCTGTTTTGCTATTACTAAATCCTCAGAACCTATAGTAGTGCCTGGCATATAATAGAAGCTCAGAAGACTCAAGAAAAATGAGTAAGCAAATACAATTTTAGTGTAGCATGGAAGTGCTATAAGAAAACTAACAAAAGGTGTGAAAACAAATCTGTCAAGTGTGTGAACTAACTACTAGTCGAACGTTTGACCTTAGTGTAGGAGTGTATATCTATCTTTTTCAATTCCAAAAGCCCAGTTATCATTTAAAAAAAAATGAAGAAAAGCCTAAAGAAAAATGTAAAGGTCATCATCCTTAATCCTGCTGCTAAGAAAGAACTATTTTTTAGAGTATGTCTTTTTTGGCTTTTCCTCTCATGCAGTTTATGTTTTAAGAAATAAATTAGGGGGGCTGGGGTTGTGGCTCAGCGGTAGAGTGCTAGTTGAGCACACGTGAGGTCCTGGGATCGATCCTCAGCACCACATACAAATAAACAAGTGAAATGGAGATATCATGTCCAATTACAACTAAAAACTAAATAAATATTAAAAAAAAGAAATAAATTAGGGACCATATGTAACCTGAGTGTTTTTTGTTTTTTTTCTTGGTGCTGAGAATTGAAACCAGGGTCTTGTGCATGCATGGCAAGCGTGCTACCAACTGAACTACATCCCCAGCCCCTATAACCTAATTTAAAAAAAAAAAATTTTTTTTTTAGTTTTAGATAGGCACAATACCTTTATTTATTTATTTATTTTTATATGGTACTGAGGATCGAACCTGGTGCCCCATACATTTGAGGCAAGTGCTATGCTACTGAGCCACAATCTCAGCCCTAACATGATTTTTAAAAAAAATATATATTTTAGTTGTAAATGGACCTTTATTTTATTTATATATGGTGCTGAGACTTGAACCCGGTGCCTCACACATGCTAGGCAAGGGCTATACCACTGAGCCACAACCCCAGCCCCCTAACCTGATTTTTAATAGCTAGTAAATATAATATGGAAATACTTTTCCTAGATAAAGGAATTCTTGCTGGATAGAGCAGGCTAATTTCTATTGTAAACATATAATTTTATTTCTAGAGAAATAAATTCTTTCTCAGGTTTGTACAAAGCAAATCATTTATCAAAGAAGACATTACTAAAAATTATATTAAAAACTTGGTCTGAAAGGGCATGGTGGTACACGCCTGTAATCCCAGCGGCTCAGGAGGTCAAGGCAGGAGGATTTTGAGTTTAAAGCCAGCCTCAGCAAAAAAGTAAGTTGCTAAGCAACTCAGTGAGACCCCTACTCTAAGTAAAATACAAAATAGGGCTGGGGATGTGGCTTAGTGATCAAGTGCCCCTGATTCAATCCCTGGTACCAAAAACAACAACTATAAAAAAACAAACTAAAAAAACCTGGTCTGGAGTCTTTGCTTCCCTGTATTATAGATCGATATGTGATTACTGAGGAAATGTCTATAAAAATCTGTGAAAATGTAGTTACAAAATAGTATAATTAATAAGACCCTAATTTTCTAAAATACTGAAGATTAAATATAGGCAGAGAACAGGGGTTGAATGATCTTTATCAAAATGTAGACAGTGACTTTCCCTGATTGGTAGATTTATAGGAGATTTATATTTCATATGTTTTTCTGGATATTCTATAATTTTTTACTGTAAATTTATATTTTTTCTCTTCAAACTTAATTTTTTTTTAAGTTGTTGATGGACCTTTATGTTATTTATTCTTATGCATTGCTGAGAATTGAACCCAGGGCCTCACACATGCTAGTCAAGTGCTCTACCACTGAGGGGCAACCCCAGCCCTGAAACTTAATTTTTGTTGTTAACAATATATCATATAAAAAAGTCAAATAGTATTTCAGGGCTTAATTTACAATAGCATTTCCTTGCCACACTTCATTCCATCTATTTTCAACGCAACTAATTTCTTCTGATATTTACTTTCATATTTCTAAGTTATGTAAAATTTGCTATTACTTGATTTATTACTTTAGGAAGCTATTGACTTATGGAAGAGTGAAGATTTAGCACAAGTTGTGCTTATGTACAAATATTCCCTTTGTTAAGTAGTGTTATCAGCTGAGCCAGAGATATGATTATATAACTATGTTTACAACTTTATGTACAACTTTTCATTTTTCTCTGGGATAACTTTTTTGGTTGCTTGGTTTTATATTTCTAGGACCTGTTATTCATTTTATAATAGTACTTGCTTTCTTCAGTTCCAGACCCTTATGGTGTTCCTGGAAGCTGGTTGGCTTCTCTCTCACTGGTATGTCTGGCTGTAGGCATTCAGTTGTCATTTCCCTTTTATGTGCTTAGTAACTTACCATTTTCTCTCTGCTTTGTATTGTCTGTAGTTTTTTAAAAAACATTTATTTTTTAATTGTAGGTGTACATAATACCTTTGTTTTATTTTAATATGGTGCTGAGAGTCAAACCCAGTGCCTCACGTATGCTAAAAAAGCACTCTACCACTGAGCCACACCCCAGCCCCTTACCTGTAATTTTTTGGTATCATCTCCCTTGATTTTTCTCTACTTTCTTTAGCCTTGTAGCTTTATAATGGCATATCCACATTGTAGTATAGTTCTCTGTTATTGGACATCAGTGTATTTATTTTTTTTAAATACATTCTTAGCATTGAACTTCTGGATCAAAAGTAATACATTTTAAGATTGTTGATGAATATTGCCAAATTTTGAAATAACTGCTAGTTTACATTTTCTGTTTTACTATTTGTTTACTTTGTGACTTGGTCAAATTAATTAATTTCTTTGTGCTTTGATCTTTAGTATGAGATTGAGTAATTTCTCAGCAGATCTTTGAATGATTGAATGAATTGATGTATATAAAGTATTATAATGATGCCTAATAATAATAGGTGCTCAAAAGTGTTAACTATTATTGGTTTTTATTATTGTGATAAAGCTGTGTCCCCCTTTTCCCAAAAATTCATTAATTTTTTTTATAACC